ATCATCGGCCCGCTGTAGAACCCCCATACGCACCGGTGCATCAGGAGGCCTCCGTTGGACATGTCCGAACCACCTCAGTCGATGTTGAACCAATTTCTCCTCAATTGGAGCCACCCCGACCCTATCTCGCATATCCTCATACCGGATTTTATCCCTTCTTGTGTGCCCGAACCAACGCAACATCTGCATCTCAGCTACACTTAGTTGTTGGACATATTGCCTTTTTGTAGGGCAATATTCAGCACCGTATAGCATCATCGGGCGAATCGCCGTCCTATAGAACTTACCTTTTAGCCTTTGTGGCACCCTCTTATCACATAGAACGCCTGAAGCTTGACGTCATTTCAACCAACCGGCTGCAATTCTATGCCTATCTCGAATAAGTTTCGTTTAGTAGTACGAGCTTTTTTAAAAATTTGAGCTTATTTCATAAGCTCTGAGTAGCCTTTTAAATAAGCTCGATGAAATTTTTATTTCAGCTAACTTATCAACTAACTTTAGTTAACACTTTTATTCATATAAGCTAGTTTTTTAGCTATATAAATTATAGGCTATTATAAACTATAAGCTTGAAAATCACTTATGAGCTAGTTTATCAGCTATCAACTAACTTATCAGTTAGTTTTACCAAACAAATCATGCATGTATCTTATTGATAAAAGCCTCCAAATTCGACGCCAAACATGAAGCAATGAATAAAAACCTGAGTACACACAACAACATAAACATATGCATTCTATGAACTACACAGTTCAAACTGTTTATGATATATCACAATATTCCCTGAGGTACTACATAAACAAGACAACAAAGAGGCCGGTTAGCTGAGAAAACGAGACTCAATCTCCATAATGTTCCCTTTGGCCCTTTAATTGACATAGAACCGCAGTCATCTAATAAAATGCGGGCGGGATCCTACGTTGGGAATGGTCGGGATAGCTCAGCTGGTAGAGCAGAGGAGATTAATAGGCATTTAAAACTGTTTGCAGTAATGGATTATTATACAAACTGGCACCGGGAGCTTTCAACTGTGACAGTTCTTTTGTTTTGGACTGTAGGAAGAAGATAACCAGATTCCTTACATTTGGACCACCTGGAAATTCTCCTCTCGTCATTTTTCCATAGCTTTGCAGCCACTGATTTAATCCCACCCTTAGCATAAGTAACCAATAGCGTGACGAGTTCTCTGCAAATTGTGAGGAAATTTTACGGTGTGTTTGTAAATAAAAGAACTCAATCTATACTCAATCCATACTCAAAATTTAATTAAACTCTAACTGTTATTATAAATATAATTAAATAATACAACAACAACAACATACCCAGTATATTCCCAACTGGTTGGGGTCATGGGGTCAGTTGTACGCAGACTTTACCCTTGTAATTATACAAGGAGGCTGTTTCCGTAGAGACCCAAGTTGCATTGCGTCATTTGATATATTTTTTTTTCTAGAAACTTTATTAAACTTTACTAATAGAAAAAACACTAGAATTTAATTGAGTCATTTTGATCTAGTCCATTATTAGCACTATGCCAGGAGAATTGTCAACAATGACTCTCCAGCTCCATTTGCAATGGACAAAAATATAATTAAATAATATCAACTAATAATTCTTACACATCACATCAACTCTAATTCACTATTCATCCACTCACATAATTTTAACTAATCATAACTTCACATCACCTCTATCCTACTTTTACATCAAATCATAAAATTCGATGGATATAAATCGAGTTAGAGAAAAATTTCACTTACAGAAGTGAACAAGGGGATCGGCCGCCATTCACATAGTAGACAAAGAGGTACGAATCGTAATGTTGTCCGTTGATGATGTAAAAATTGTAGAGCCTTCGTAAGCACTGAAATGACATTTTCTTGTACAAATGTATGGCTGGATTATTGTACGATATCACATGTAGATAAACAGCACGACATGTTGAAATGCTCGACGAGTACTTTATAACCTCTTGGATTAGTGAACTGGCTGAAAAATTCCAAGATCAGCACAAGAAGAGGGTTAATAAAATGCAAGTAAAGCAATAGAATCGAAAAATTTAGAAAACTGGCTTTGCAAAAATCCATCAACTTGCCTATCCCAAGATTTCTGTAAGAATCTACAACTCCCAGTGTTAAGATGTATACTAATGTTTGGTCTGTTTTCGATGAATCAAAGCTGAGTAAATCTTCGATCTGCAATAAAATGACAATTTGATTCAAATATGAAGACTCCCTGTACCCTCCAACTAAAAGGAAAGAAAGGAAATGAAAGAAAAATAGAAAGAAAGTTGATTAGCAGGAAAATCTAAATTAGTTAAAAAATAAAAATGAAGGCGCGTTTCGAGAAATAAAAAGAGAAGAACGTATAAGATGGTTAAAAGGCAGGAATATAGTTCAAAAGAAATATTCAAAAGGGAGATGAGGTTAGAGATTCAACAACTCTAAGGCCAAATTACATACGCACATTTTTTTTTTTTTATGAAAGAAAAAGAAAATGAAGGAATGAAAGAAAGTTAACTTTTTGAAATCACAAAGACCCTCTAATGCATTACAAACATCAGCACATAACCATAACCGGCTAAAAATTACCAAACCCACCAAGTCTCACCTCACTTTCTCTTGCTGGAACAATTCTTGCAGTAACAAATCCAATTAGTTCGTCACTTTGATCATTCGGTCGACTGTGATCGACAGCTCCCCACGAGATAATATCACGACCATTGACAACATTGTGGAAAAAATCAGATTCATACCTGAAAAAAAAAAAAATCATAAAATGTTCTTCAGATGAATCAGAGAACTATCTAAACTGCGCATTTGGTGAGAGAAGAAAGATTATGCTGACCTTATGGGGAACAAATCTCCATGAATTTTCTCAAGAACTATGTAGTCCGACGGGCGTATGGGCCTATAAGTTATATTAGGTCGGCGAGGACCTTTGAGATTCACCATTGGGCAGATGTGGAATCAATCCCCCGAAAATATTTTATATATTTTGAAACGCCTCCAATGAATAGGTTTTCCCATTTATTCAAAATTGTACACGGCAGCCATGAAGCCAACTAAAATCCTATTCGAGATTATAAACCTTCATTAGTCCTTTACACCGAATCAAAAGCATATTCACATGAACATCAAAAGTTTAAAAAATAAAATAAAACACTAATCAGAAAGCCTTCTTCAGTAACGCTACTGTTAAGTAGAATTAATGGTTAGAAGTCATACTTTTCCATCAGATGTGCGTACTTCCAAACTAAAATGGCATACTCCAAACAATACAAGCGAAAGTATGACATTTGATAGCACAAGTACAAATTTTTGTTTAAAAGAAAAATATGACGGGTTGACCCACCTAACAGTTAGGCAACCTCATACAAGGATTTTTGTTAAATCTTACCAAATCAAATTAGAAAGAAGAAAATGAGAGAGGCAGAACTGGTAAGCAAACATTACGAACCGGCAAGATAGAACCCATTTTCCGATGCTAGAAACCCCAGCAATCCACAGAATAAACATAATTGTAATGAAATAAAATTTTCCACATTTTAGCAATCCCCACATATAATGACCTATACCCAACATGACACACAAAGATTACGATAACAAGCATAAAGATTACACCTTTAGCTGAATTTAATAAACAAGAGGCTAATAAGTTAATCATCCAAATAAGTACAGCAGATTACAAATTTCCAATATGAACTAAAATCACCCCAGATGAGCTAACTTTCACAAGGGTCAACACAAATCGCGAAGCTCTGCAATTTCGACATAAGTAATACACAGAACAATAATAATTGAAGCAAATTACAGTACCACATCGTTAAAAATTAAGCTACTCAGAGCTAAAAATGGTGATATCGAATCACATAGTTGCCATCCAAACCACAAAAATTGATAAAATTGGGGAAAACAAGAATTTAAGCCAGAAAATGAGCGACAAAAAAA